TTAACCAAGTCTATCTGAGAAGCAGGAGGGTGCAGGGTAGGGGCTGGAGTGAGCAGCTGCTCCGTTCACCCTGTGAGACCATCTTCACCTCTCCTGGAAGCCTTATTCCTTTCTGCCTTTCTCCTCGTGGGTCATACTCTTCCTGAATTTCTCCACTCCACACTGGTCTCTTATTTAGGTTGCCTTCTCTCAGCCCAGTTTGGAGAAGCTCCTGCCATGTTCCTACTACTCTGCCCAGTCTCATTAATTCTTCCTGTGACATATTATTACCTCCCTTCTCTCTCTCATTCATTCTACAAACATTTATTAAACTCCTTGTATATATCAAATCATGGGGTACAGTAAAAAAAATGCACAAAAATCCCTCATGAATAAGTGAGGGGGGCCCTCAGCCCCCTTTATATTTTAAGGTTCTAATTTCCTTATATTTTAATATAAGGAAAATCAGACAATAAGTAATAAATACAGAAGATAAATTGTATATATCAACAACATATAATTTATTAATTTATACATATACTGTGTATATATATATATATATATATATATCAATTATATATTTAGAAAGTGATAGTGACTTTAGAAAAATTTAGAGTAAGGTAAGGGAGCCAAGACATGGCAGAGAAGAAGAGCAATTGTTAAAAGAGTGGCCAGGGATGGGCCTCCTGAAAAGCATCTGGACAGAGACTCAAAGGAGATGAGGGATTTTTGTGGGTATGTGGGGGAACAGTGTTTCTCTGAGACAGAGGCCCCAAGGTGGAACCATGCCTGTTAGGTTCAAGGGACAGAGGGAGGATCAAGCCAGACAATGTCAGGGGAGGAGTCTGAGAGGTCACAGAGGGGCTTGTGGATTCTAGCCAGGCCCCTGTTCTTTATTCTGAGTAAGATGGGTGCATTGGAGTGTTCTGAGATCATCGAAAGGATCACTGGCTGCTGCATAGTGGAGAGCTGTGGGGAAGCAAGGGTAGAAGCAGCTACCATTGGAGGAAACTGAGGTTCAAAGCATCTTGCTCCAGATCCGCACTGAAGCCAAAACTAGGGTTGTGCTGTCAGATGAATGCATTACTGCTCAGACCCAGACAGGAGCCCATGCACTTTGCCCTGCACCAGCCTCTTTCTGGTGGATGAGGCCTCTGGAGACTGGCCTCCCTGGGCCAGGTTCTGAGGGAGAGTAGGATGGACAAAAGATGGCCACTGTCCCTTCTCTCTGCCCCTAATTGTCTCCCTGAGCCTGAATCAGACAGGTTCTGTTTCTCCTGGGAACCCGCCGCAAGTCTGTCTGGAGGTGTAGGAGGTATGAGGCCCTAGAAGCCCGCCCAGCTCTGGGCATCAGGGAAGCCTGGGCATGCCAGGGCGTGGCTGTGGTGGTGGGTTGCTAGGTGACTCCAAGAGGGAGCCTGGTTACTGCTGCCTGGCAGAGGCGTCTCCCTCCTCTGCCTCCCTCACCACCTCAGTGGCCTCTGGACTCCCAGGAGGCCTTGTGGGCAAGATGTGATTGGCGCTTGCCATTGGATCTTGGCCCAGAGCTCTGATTGGTACCAGGTGGCTGGGCCCTGAGGAGCCAGACTACGCTGCGGAGCCTGGGCTTCCCTCATGGGGCACAGCCCTGGTGCACACCTGATGGAGAGCCCAGCTCAGCAGTCAGAGGCCAAGGTCCTCACCTTGCTCTGGGCCTCCTCCCTGGGTGACCCTAGGAAAGGCATGGCATCCATCTGCCCTATCTATCTGGCCTGCAGAATCCCTCCTAAAGGGAGAGTGCAAGGCGGGTGCTGAGGGAGAGGGCTCCCGGCACTTCTGCCCCTATACCCTGATGACTTAAGTGTGTAACACTCAAGTATTGCATTAGATTCCATTTACAAAAAGAGTGTCACAACTTTAAAAAAAGTTTCAAGACCTCTGGACTGGATGATTCCAAGAACTTTCATTATCAAATTAAAAAGGTCCTCAGAATACCATTGGCCCATTTCATCCGTTTACCGGTAGGGAAACTGAGGCCCAGAGTGGAGGAGGGACTTTCCCTAGATCAAGCTTGGTGGAGGGGGAAGAGCACCAAGCTAGGGATCCTGAGGCTTGGACTCAATTCCAGCTCTGCCACCAGGTCCTGGGCGGCTTGGGGCAAGACCTTTCTCCTTTCTGGGTTTGATCAGTCAAGGTTTCAGGCTGGAGCTCGGGCAGCCAGGGGTACCTGGCTGGGCAGGAGACAAAGAGGGGAAGGATACAAACTGTCATAGGCCCAGAGCACGTGCTCTTGGTGCTAATCTAAAACACTTTTATTTGTATGCAGAAAATGTGGATGTATTAGGACAAACAATGCAAAATTCCCCTGAATTCTAAAAAGGAGGTTCTAAACAGACGTGTAAGGAATTCTGACCCTTGAACATGCCCCCAGTCTTCCCAGGCTGCCAGCTTCTGGGAATGGTTACCTGGAAGGTTTGAGAAGCACTGGAGTGCTGGCTTCATAAGATGCTTTGGAAATCCTGCGACACCTCTCTCTCTCCAGGTGGGATGCCATGTCCTTTAGACTCAGTGAGACTAACCTGAAATCAGTACCTGGCTCTGCCACTTAAACTGTGTGACTTGGCAACTTCCCTGGCAACTTCCTTAACCTCTCTGAGCCTCATGCTCCTCATCTTGAGATAGGGATCACAATCCCTGACGTGTGTGGAGTCTGATAGAGTGATTACATGAGATAAAGTACTTACAAGGCCCAGAGCTGAACAGGTAGTACTGAGGAGGTGCTGGTACTTGGTGATGTCCTTCCTCCTCCCCCCACCTCTGAGCACTCAGAACCAGGCTGGCGCATAGTGACATTAATCAGGAGGTGTTGCCTGACTGGCCTTCAGCGGGAGAGGCTGGGAGGTGGAGCCTCTGGAAGCCAGATGTCCCATTTGGGAGCACTGAGGCCTCTGCGGCCCCTGAACACAGGTGTGGGGGAGGGGCTGGGGAAGCAGGTGTAGGGGCGGGAACAGGAAAGGGGGTGAGTACCACTCCCTGGAGGGTCCAGCTCCCCTCCTCTCAGGGTCCCAGGAGAAGCCAGGCAGGGCAACACTGGGAGGGGCCTTGGAGACCCAGCTGTCACCTACCAAGACCAGAAAGTGCCAGAGATAGGGCACCTGGGGCCCTGAAGAGTCAGGAGTTCAGGCTGAGGGAGGGTACCCTGGGCAGCAGAAAGGACCCTTCCTTCTGGACACTGATGGGAAGGGGACAGGAGAGAGAGCCCTCATGGCTCAGTGGTTACAGGGCTGGGTGTATAAAGAGCTACGAGCAGGCCCATGAGCTGGGCAGATCTGGAGTGGTACCTGGCATTGCTGCCTATGGGACCATGGGCAAGTTACATCATGCCTCTGGGCCTCCACACTCTGGTACCTGAGATGGCTAATGCCAGCTCTCCAGAGTTATTGGTGCCCAGCACAGTTACATTCAGCATAATATCAAGGAGGTAGAGACAGAGCCGGTCTATGGGTGGGTGATCTAACAGGTGAGGGTCTTCTGGACAGGGTGAGGGATTTAACTGTTTATGAACACTTGGTGTGTTATAAGGTGGTTATTGAATATCACCCATTTTTTTTAGGGTAGCTCACTAAAGTACTGAGGCTCATAGAGGTTAAGGCAACAAATAGCCCAGGGTCATATAGTTAAGTGGCTGAAAAAAGCCAGGCATCCTGACCAGCCTTCTGATACCCAAGCCCATGCTGTTTCCACAGCAATACTTGAACCAGGAGGTCAAGGTCACCAGGTGGGAGGCCCAATAAGTTCCTGTGAAGTCAGTCTAGCTGTGGCCTCCTCTGCCTTCCTCTGTCCCCAGGACAGGCCTGGCAAAAGCAGGCAGTCATGTGGGGAGCAGTACAGACTGGCACAAAAGACGTTTAGAATAGGATATGTGCAGGGGTGACAAAGGGTGAAGCCCAGGGAAGTGCCCAGGACAGCAGAAAGGCTGTGTAGCCCTGGGTAAGCCACCTCTCTGAGCCTTGGTCTTCTTATCTGCAAGTGGACATCATGCCACCTGCTTTGTGGAGATTTGTGAAGATTTCACCAGGAAGGGGCTTTTTAGGGTGGGCTGCAACCAGAAGGCAGGCCAGAGAGCTGGGCTGGCTTGAAGGTGGGGCACTGAGCAGAAATGGGGTCGGAGGTCTCCAAGCCCATGGATGTGTTTTGCTGGAATCCAAGGTCTTTGTGGAGTTCACAGAAGCTCAGAAGAGTTGGGGGAAATCTCTGCAAAGTGTCAGGCCTCTACCCACCTTGGGGATGCCCAACCTGTTCTGCTTCCCCTGGCCAGGCCCTCCCAGCAAAGGGTTAACAGTCTTCTCTACCTGCAGTTGCATTTTAAAGACACGAAATTAAAGCAGGTAATTTATTCTCCCCACACACGAAAGAGCAATTAGTTCTAAACAGGGCTTAATCAGTCACCACGAGATTGATTTCTGGAGCCCTGGGTTTTCGGGCTCCTGGCGCCATGCCAGACTGGGGAAGGAGGGGGGCGGACAAATGAGCCACAGCAGCATGAGCCCTTACATAATCTGCTGGGGGGTGGAGGGTGGGGGGCGCGGGGGCTGGCAGCCTGGCTAGCCCCGCGGTGGGGCTCGGCTGAGTCAGAGAGGGGATCTTGCTCTCCTGCTGCAGACCCCTTGAGAGCAGCCCTCAGGGTTGGCCATGCCTCCCAGGAAAGGCCCCGCCCAAAGCTTGGCCCCACCCCCTGGGCAGTGCCTGCGGGGGCGGGGGCGGGGGCGGGGCGGGATGATGTGGTTCTAGGGGTCTTGGATGGGTATTATGAGTTTGTCTGACCGGATGCTTACCCCTGCCTTCCTCACCCCTAATCCCTTCCCCCACTCACCTTTTCATCTCCCCTATTTCCTCCCCTTCCCCCTTCTGGCTCTTTTCCATTCTCTTATCCTCTTCTTTCTCTATTTCCTCCCCCCCCCCTTCTTTCCATCACTACCCCATCTTTACTCATGGCCTCCTCACTTCCCACTCCCGACCCATGTCCTTGTCTCTGGCCACAGAACTCCATCCGGCACAACCTGTCGCTGCACACCCGTTTCATCCGCGTGCAGAACGAAGGCACAGGCAAGAGCTCCTGGTGGATGCTGAACCCCGAGGGCGGGAAGACCGGCAAGACCCCGCGGCGCAGGGCCGTGTCCATGGACAATGGGGCCAAGTTCCTGCGCATCAAGGGCAAGGCAAGCAAGAAGAAGCAACTGCAGGCACCCGAGCGAAGCCCCGACGACAGCTCCCCGGGCGCACCAGCCCCAGGGCCTGTGCCTGCCGCGGCCAAGTGGGCCACCAGCCCAGCCTCTCACGCCAGCGACGACTACGAGGCGTGGGCCGACTTTCGCAGTGGCGGGAGACCCCTGCTCGGGGAGGCGGCTGAACTGGAGGACGACGAGGCCCTGGAGGCCCTGACGCCGTCGTCGCCGCTCATGTACCCGAGTCCCGCGAGCGCGCTGTCGCCCGCGCTAGGTGCGCGCTGCCCCGGGGAACTGCCCCGCCTGGCGGAGCTGGGAGGCCGTATGGGCCTGCACGGCAGCAGCGCGGGGATGCCCGAGGCCCTGCTGGACGGCGCGCAGGACGCGTACGGGCCGCGGGCCCGCGCCGGGACGCCCGCCTACTTCGGCAGCTGCAAGGGCGGCGCTTACGGCGGGGGTGGGGGCTTCGGGCCGCCGGTGCTGGGCGCGCTGCGACGCCTGCCCATGCAGACCATCCAAGAGAATAAGCAGGCCAGCTTCGCGCCGGCCGCCCCGCCCTTCCGCCCCGGGGCGCTGCCCCCGCTGCTGCCACCGCCGCCGCCCGCACCCCGCCCCGGCCCGGTGCTGGGCGCGCCCGGGGAGCTCGCGCTGGCGGGCGCGGCCGCCGCCTACCCTGGCAAGGGCGCGGCCCCGTACGCGCCGCCGGTGCCCTCGCGCAGTGCCTTAGCCCACCCCATCAGCCTTATGACGCAGCCCGGCGAGGCGGGCACCGCGGGCCTGGCGCCTCCTGGCCACGCGGCCGCCTTCGGGGGCCCGCCCGGCGGCCTCCTGCTGGAAGCACTGCCCGGGCCATACGCCGCGGCCGCCGGGCCTTTGGGTGCGGCGCCGGACCGCTTCCCGGCCGACCTGGACCTCGACATGTTCAGCGGCAGCCTGGAGTGCGACGTCGAGTCCATCATCCTCAACGACTTTATGGACAGCGACGAAATGGACTTCAACTTCGACTCGGCACTGCCGCCGCCGCCGCCCGGCCTGGCCGGGGCCCCTCCCCCCAACCAGAGCTGGGTGCCGGGCTGAGGGCCGCCCGCGGCGCCCCGGGTGCCAGCCCCGCCCCCAGAGGGCCTCTGTCTTCCCATCCCGATCCCCGGGTCCCCATCCCCCTGATTCCAGCTCCACGGAGGATCCAGGAGACAGCCCCAGCCCTGCTAGAGACATCTCTCAGAAGTTGGCTGCTGAGGGATGTGGTAGGGAGGGGCTGGGGCACCCCACATTCCTGCCCAGACTCCTGAGAGCCGCGCCCCCTACTCCCGGGGCAGGAAGCCTGGGGGTGGAGGCTGAATTCCGGACTGGGTGGGAGTGGGGAGGAGTGAGATGGGCTGCACTGGTTGGAGAAGCCTACCCGGAGATGGGGGGAGGTGAGCGAGGGCGTCTCTGAATCTGCAAGTTTCCTTTGCAGGGTCCCTCGCGGTAGGTGGTGAATCGCCTCCCCCAGTTGACACTTTCCACTGGTCTTAGCCTACCCACCGAAAGCCAGCAACCCCTTCCAGAAAACACACTCACAGCTCCTATTGGCTGTGCACCCCGAACTGTCCTTAGTCCTAAACCCCCCCTCTGACCCTCCACCCTCATGGTTCAACCCTTCCCTCCCACCCTTGTCAATCAATCCTAGCTTCTCCCCTTCTCTCTCCGAGTCAGTTGCTCTTTGCAGTCCCTACAACCCCCACCCCCACCCCCCACTCCCCCAAGAACAGGTCACAGCCTCTCCAGCGGGCCTCAGCTCTGGATCCACACCCCAACCCCAGCACCCCTTTCTCCGTGCCAGTCCTGGCTCCTCTATCCCATATTTATAAGTGTCGGGTCGGGGCGGGCTGTGGGCGCGGCGTCCCTGGCGCATTTCGTAGGCTGTGTACCGTGGCCGTGCCGTCAGTCAGCGTGTGCGTGTGCGTGTGTGCCGTGTCGAGGCCGTGTAGAGTGCATTGTACAGCATATTTTCATGAATAAAATTGTTTTAAATATTTCCCGCGCCTTGGGCTAACAGGGGGGGGTGGTGGGGGAGGAGGATAAACTGGCAGGGATCCTGGGGCGGGGGTTCCAGTGTCTGAGTCCCTACTGTGGCTTTGTGTCTGGGAATGTGTCAGCATTCCCTGATGCCTGTCTGCTCAACACACTTTGGTTGAACGCCTACTGAGTTTTGGCCGCTGGGGATGTGACTGGAGCTCTGCACCTGTTTCTGGTGCATGCAGGAAGTTTCAGGCCTGGGGAAATTCCGCCCTGAATAAGCCTCAGAGTTGGGAGAGAAGGCACAATTTACTAAGAACCTGTAGTGTTAGGTTCTGTGTTAGTATGACTTTTGTCCCCATTTTACAGATGAGAAAACAGAGTCAGAAAGGGAAAAGGTCTTGAGTAAACAGGGTGGGGTTGTAGACAGGAAGCCTTTGAAGGTACATACATTTCTATTTGATTCCATTCATTCCCTGCTGGGTTTTTTTTTTGTTGTTGTTTTTTTATCAGCCCATGACCTTGGGCATGTTTTAAACCTCTGTAGCCTTGCTTTCCTGGTCTAGATCACAGGATAATAGCACCCATCCATCCCATGGTTTTCTTGTGAGGAGTAAATGAGAAAAGGTATGTAAACTTTTCCTCCTGCATCCTCCCACTCACTCATTCCTCCATGGGAGATTTATTGAGCACTTGCCATGTGACAAGTTTTTTTTTTAAAGTATATTTTTATTGATTTCAGAGAGGGAGAGAGAGATAAAAACATCAATGATGATAGAGAATTGGCTGCCTCCTGCATGTCCCCCCACCCCCTGGGGACTGAACCCGTAACCCAGGCATGTGCCCTGATCGGAGTTAAACTGTGACCACCTGGTTCATAGGTCGATGCTCAACCACTGAGCTATGCCAGCCGGGCTGTAATAGGTCTTGTACCAAGCATTGGGGCTGCCATAGAGAGCAACATAGGTATAATCTCTGCCTCAAGAAACTTAGAGGCTCGAGGGGTACACAGATAATTAAATAGGTGATAGATCAGAGCTATAATGAATGGAGGAGCCAGGGGTGTGTTGTGGGAACAAATAACACAGCTACATTTATCCCGTGCTTGAGGAGTCAGGGAAGATGTCTGGAGGGAGTATTGTCTCAGTTGAGCCTTAAAAGACGAGTTGGTATTGGGAAGGGAAGGGCTTCAGAGAGAGGGAACGGCATGATCAGAGCCCAAAGACGAGATCATGTGGGCTCCAGAACCAAAAGCAGTTTAGTGTGGCCACAATTCAGAGATGGAAAGGTTACCTGATGATGGGGAAGCAAATGGGCAGAGGGGACAACAATGGGGGGGGGTCAGTGGCCAGCCTAGAGGTGCTGGTCTGACTCAAATCAGGAGAGAGAGGAGGGCAGTGGGGTTGGAGGGGAAAGGATGAGTTCACATATAGAGTCACTGGGACTAGAGTCACTGTTGTGGATTGGACATGGGGGATGAGGGAGAAGGGAGAGTCAAACGATGCCTGATTTCTGGTTGGGCAGACAGCTCTCCCGCGAGATGGGGAACTTCCAGGCTGGGGGAGCCCTGGGGAAGATGGTGCACTCAGCTTCAACCAGGCTCAATCTGAGTTACGTCCTGTGGGATTTGGGAGTGATGTTCAGGAGCATGTACACTGTGTGAATGGCATTCCCTGGCAGTGGGCAACAATGCCAGCCTGGAGAGTTCAGCTGGAGAGTGGGGTCAGAAGCCCAGGAAGGTGTCTGGGCTGGAGAGGGAGGTCAGAAAATCAGCACAGAGGCTGTCATGGAGGTGCTGCAAGTGGCTTGGACGGTGGTGCAGATTGGGAAGAACAGGCGACTCAGGCCTGCTCTGGTGAACACCTTAGAACACACTGAGAAGGAGCAGCCCCATGGAGAGCAGGAGGACAGCCAGACCCTGGGCTCCTAGCATTTGGGAAGAGTAAGGTCCTAGAAAGAAATGCCCAATGCACTTACTTCTCGGAGCCTCACTTTCTTGGTCTGGAAGATGGGCCAGTAGCATCTGCCTCAGATTTGTTTTGAGGAGCAAATAAGATTGGAATTATTCTCCGAGGTTATACAACTGGAAGGGACAAAGCCAGGATTCTTGCCCAGACTGTGTGCCGCTGATGCCCTGGCTCTCTGGCCCTTGCTGCCTCTGGGGCGTGTTTGTGCGCGCGCGTGTGTGTGTGCGCGCGCGCGTGTGTGTGTGTGTGCGTGTGTGTGTGTGTGTGTGTGTGTGTGTGTGTGTGTGGCTGTGAGCAGAAGAGCAAAGGAGCTCTGAGCCTGCAGCACCTGTGCAGGTTCTGGGCTCAGTTAAGGGCCAAAACCTCACTGGGGTGCGGTCGGTGTTCTTGCTGGGTGGGGAGCACATAGAGGCTGATGGACCCTCCCCTGGGACATATGCCCTGGCCCCACCCCACAACCAGAATCTGGGGCAGCCCAGCTGGATCTGGGCTCCATATGGGCTGCAAAGCTGCTACCACCCTGTTTGAGGGAGGGTGGGCTGCTGGTGTGCGTAGGTCTGTGTGTGTCAATGTAGCCCCATATGCGTGTGTGTGTGTGTGTGTGTCTGTGTGTGTGTGTGTGTGGTGAGAATGACAGTGTCTCCATCTCTGGGTGTGCCCACACGTGCACTTGGAGCTGAGGAGTCCATGCCTGTGTGAGTGGTGTGTGCTGCGTGCCTTCCTCTCTGGATGTGTCTGACTGTCTTGGCTCAGATCTCTCCACGTGCACCTGAGCTGCTGTTCCCCTGCCAGGAGCGCCTTATGGGCCGCTCTGCTGTGGGAGGGGAGGAGGGGGGAGGGGAGCAGAGGGACATTCCCACCCTGGGGTGAGCCAGGCTCTTGAGCAGAGAGCAGTGAGACCACCTCAGAGTGATGACTGAGCGTGGCCTGGCTCAGGCCAGTGGCAATTCCAGAGGCAGCTCCTGGGCTGGGCCCTATCAGGAGAAGGGGGCTACACCCCTGCTTCTGGGGGTCTGCAACTGGCCCTTCCCTCGCCAGCCATGGAGCCCAGCAGACGCGCCCCCCCCCCTCCGTGCCTACTCCCTGGGAGGCGTCTGACACATGATTTATTCATAAAAAGCCATTATTTGTGCCAAAGAAGAACTGAGCTGCTCGCTTTTTAAGTGCTGATAATGCTCTCAGCCTCCTTGCCTCTCCTCTCCCATTCCCTCCCCTCTTCTCTCTCTTATCTTCTCTCTCACCTCCTTGGGACTTCCCATCCTTTCTCCACCCCCCTGTCTTCCCCCTCCCCCTCCTGGTCTCCCTCTCTAGTCTTTTATTGTTCTCCTCATACCTTCTCTCCTCCCATTTCATTCTTCTCCCCTCCCACCCCACTTACCTCCTCCCCACTTCCGCTCTGCTATTAGGGGTGTGAGGCTGGGTCATTGGAGGCTGGGAACCAGTTGTCCCAGGTTGGGGAAGGCCTATGCCAGCCAGGAGCCCGGCGGACCCCACCCTCCACCCCAGCCTTCCCCCTCTTCAGGACCAGAGGAAGTTTGGGAGGAGTGGGAGCAGGGTTAGAAAGGCAGGGGCCTTGGGAGGCTGTCACAACCCGCCCCACCCCCCGTGTTAAAGGGTGTGACTTTACTCCATTATTAGCACCAGTTTCCCAAGGCAAAGTCCCTAGGCTCCCTCTTCCCCTCAAGTGTGCCCCTATATAGAAATTTTGGAGCCCCCATGATTCAGGTGGTGCCAGGAGAGGCTGGCTTCAAGGGAGGCACTTAGAGCCCCATCACATGGTGAGCACCCTGTTTCCACACAGGAGGCAGCAGATGTGAGCATGGACAAGGACACAAGGTTCTTAGAAGAGTACGCACAGGAGCGCACGCACACACACAGGCATGCACATAGCCCCACACCAACTCACGCAGATGCAAGGCCTTCCTCCCTGAGCACCTGCAGTGGGGGCTGAAACTCGCCGTTCAGACACCTGCTCTGTCATTCATTCATTCGTTTCACTAACTGCTTTTGCACCCCTATTGTGCCAACACTGGTGCTGGGCACTGGGGGGTAGAGATGAACTTGATTGGACCACAGGAAGTGGGGGACGGGAGCAGAGCGGGTACTTCAGGCCCTCCCCTCAGCCTTGGGCTGGGGGTTCGGTGCCCAGCAGACAAGAGGTTAAGTCATTTGGCATCCAGAGCTGGAGCCATTAGGCCTCCTAATTATGAAATTATCGAGGTCCTCAGGTGACTGCTAATTTCACACACACTGTTCCTCTCACGGCTAATGAACGCCCGCAGAACCCACGCCTTGTCTTTCCTGCTGAACAGTGACCTGCAGTTAATGAGCTCAGGAAGGCAGACAGGCAGCCGGCTGGGTGGGTGGGACGCCAGGCCTGAGGAGGGGGACGCTGGCCCTCCTGCCTTCCTGTTTCCCTCCATGGCTGCCCATCCCCAGCGAGGCTTCAGGGCCAAACCCCAGCCTGAGGTTTCTGCAGGAGAGGCCGGCCAGGGGCCTTTGGGAGCAGGGGAGCAGGGGAGCAGATTTGGGGAGGGCTTTGGTTACAAGATTCTGGAATGAGCATGGGGGTGGGAGGAGAGATGAAATGCAGATGGTGGGGAAAGACCATTTTTGTTCATTCTGGAGCCATGTCAGAGACGTTTATTAAGGGCTGAGGGTAAGGACAGCTTACGGGGTGGGAACTGGTGGTGGTGGCAGCCACACTCTGATGCCCGTGACAGTGACGACTCTGGGGGAGGATGGCACTAATGAGAGTGGCAGTGTCAACTGGGGAGGTTGCAGTGCTGCTGGTTGTGATTTTTTTTTTAAGTTTTGATTTTTTTTCAAGTTAAAAAATAACATAAATATGAAAAAGTAGCACATACTGGTTGCAATCCTAGGTGGGGGCAGTGCGGGAGATCACATTCCCCCAATAGGGACACAGTGGACCCTTCAGGCTGACCAGCAGGTGGTTTGAAGGCCCTATGACCTGCCCATGGGGAGTACCCTGCCGCTGCCCCGTGATACCCCAGCCTGGTCAGTGCCAATTGCCTGGCAGTGTGGTGACTGAG